CACCACGAGATGGACGGGTGCCACCACGGCTCTGCCCACCTGGGTGCAGGAGGCCCTTCCACGCAGTGCAGCCACCCATCACAGCCCTTCCTCCTCCCGTGGGGCAGCCGAAGACCCCCCAGCCCACTCACCACAGCAAAAAAGGGCTGACCCGCTCACCTGGGCCCAAGTCTCAGCTAAATCCCACTTGGTATGGAGAGAGTTTTATCCCTCAGGAGCTCCAAGGTAACATGGAGCTGAGCCGGAGCTTCCTCCCAGATGACCCAGAGCTGAGGTTGAGCACCCCCCTTCTTTACAAACCTTTAAGGCTGCTCAGAGCAGCCCCCCAAATCTTGAGCTGGCTGGAGGGAGCAGGTGGCTCTTTCTGGGGGTCCCCTCCTGCATGTTGCCTGTTCCTTCCTCCCTTATCCCTGTGTCCCTGAGCCTCACAGGTTGCTCCCCGACCCGCGGCCGAGTCCCCAGGCCCAGCTAACCCTGTCCTCCTTCCCCAGCCTGGGCAGCTACGCGGCGCTCCACGGAGAGTTCTACTGCAAGCCCCACTTCCAGCAGCTCTTCAAGAGTAAAGGCAACTACGACGAGGGCTTCGGGCGCAAGCAGCACAAGGAGCTGTGGGTGCACAAGGAGGTGGAGAGCGGGACCAAGTCGGCGTGAGCAGGGCCAGCCCCCCCTTCCCTGGAGCCCAGCAGAGAGGGCAGGGAGCAGTGCTGAGCCAGGGGCTAACTGAGCTGATGTAAATCAATGGAGACCTGAGGGCCTGCGGGCAGTAGGGGAAGGGGGCAGCCCAGCCTGCTCTGGAGGATGCTTAGAGGGGTCTTATGGCCATAAGAACAGGGCAGAGCCCCCAGACCTGAAGACTCTCTGGAGGCCTCTTTCCCTGATGAGATCAGACCAGAAGCCCGTAACCCCAGCTTTGTTTATACATTTCAGACCTTCCCCCATGGATAAGGGGATGATCTGAGGGCTTAACCCAACCTCTAAGTCACAGCAGAGCTCCCAGCTCCTGCCACACCAATCCTGCCTTGCTGGGGCTCCAAATACAGAAGGTCCCTGGTTTCCATCAGCTCAGTTCAGCTGGGATTGTTCAGCCTTAAAGGATGTTGCCCTGCGACTGTTTAACAGTGTCTGTCTTTTTTATACCTGCCTTCGAGTGGTACGTTCTGTGCTGGAGCTGGCACGGCAGCTCCACGCGCCACTCCGCCCCCTGCGCCCTTTTATTTTTGTAATACAAGGTTTCTGAGCCTTCCTTGTCTCGTCCTGTGTCCCCGGGAGGTGGGAGCAGTGGTTGGGTCTCCCTTTTACTGCCTAGTTACTGTGGAAAGAGCCTCTGCCCACACAGGATCAAGACAGTATTCCTGGATACACGTCTGTTCCCTTGTGACTGAGGCAGCCTGGTCCTTTGGGGGCTCAGTTCAGGATTTCAAATTGCCCACCAGCATCACTCTCTTGTGAGCCACAGAGCCCAGCTTCCACACGGAGCCCAGGCCACCCTCAAAGGGCATTCACTGGCTCTGAATCAGACCCACCCCCTTGCCCTGTGTAGTTTGTGGCTTACTTGCCCCTCCCTCCCTCCCAATAAAGCCTGTGCTCTGCTTCCACAAGCAGATGCTGGCACCAGTCACTCTGCCATGGGCAGGGTGGGCATCAGAGCTGGGCTGACTGGGGCAGTACAAGGTCTGGGCTGGACCAAACCCATCTCTGAGCTGTGATGTTTGGACTAAACCCATCTCTGAGCTGTGATATTTGGACAGCATTGTTCATACATAATGAGCCCAACAAGACCTGCCAGGCTGGACAGCCCAAAGCAGTGAAACCAGGGAGAGCAGGTGAGTCTGGTTTCAATTATTATTTACCTCCTCCCTCCACACGTGATTTGTAAGACTAGTTTGGAAGTGTAAGCACTGAGGAACCACACATCTTTCAGATGCTGTAGGAATCAGGCTTTTCAGAGCCCACATGGCAGAGCAACAGCCTTTGATACCAAGAGCAGGAGCCTCAATTCCATCACTGACTGGTAACATCAGCTCCCACAGAGCACATCCTGCCTGGAAAATCCAGCTGTAAAAAGGGGAGCTAAGCACTGCAGAGGGAAGAAGCTGGATATGGGCAGTCCACAGCAGATGGTACTTAGAGGTGTGCTCTTAACCCGGGTCGCTGTGGTTGTACCCCATCCACACAGACCCTTCTGGGCTCTGGGTGTGCACCAACAGCCAGGCAGCATCTCCACTGCTCTCCTTCACTGGCCGTGCTGGCTGCAGCCAAGAACCCTGTCGGATGGCCCCAGGAGCCTGATGTCCCTCCTGTTGGACAAGTTATTTCTCCTTTTGTAGTTAAGGGCTTTTCAAAGGGCAGGTCTGGCAGCTCCTCGGGGTGGGGACCGCACGGGGACTTACACTGCCAGCACAGCAGCGCCTGCGCCGAAAAGGAGACCTGGGAAGGCTGCAGTGAAGTTCAGCCTCACCAGGGGCTTTCCCCGTCCCCATCCCGCCGGTGCTGCCGACTCCTCCTCGCATGGACGTGCAGGAGGCGGAGTGAGCGGGGAGCGGAGCCGCTCCCCCAGCAGCACTCCCTGTCCCACCCCGGGCACCCAGCGGCGGCTGCTCTGTGCTGAGGCTCCTGTGGTGCTCTCGGGTTCTGGCCCTTCCTCCCCAGGGTCAGTGCAGAAACGAAAGCGGGCTCCTGGGTTTCTCTTCCTGCTCCTCAGCAGCCTCGTTTCCTGACTGCCCAGCTCCCGGGCGCTGCTCTGCACTCAGACACCATCTGAACTATTCCAGCTGACCTTGGAGGAGGGGAGGGAGTAAAAAACCCCAGCGTTTAAACGTTGGGCTTTCTAAAGAGAACGTTGAGTGAGAAAAATGATGTTCCATTTCTCTCCTCTCCCCAAAACAGAAATTTGGGGTTTTGTCTAAAGACAGTGGCACTCGCTGCTCTCCACCTACTCCTCCCCAACGTGGGCACAGCAAACTCCTGCTGTGGCAGAAATGGAGGGAGCGTGTGCAAGCACGAGGTGTGAGATCTCCAGGCTGCTCTGGGATTGTTTCCTGATTTTGAGAGCGAGCAGCAGGGAGCAGGGTGTATCTGTAACCGAAACAGGCTGCAGCAGCCTGACCCAGGCACCACAGCTCAGGGGAGCATCACTCACGTGGGGCAGAGACGTTCCCCACGGACTCCTGCTTCCCTGTGACCACACCAGGCTCTGCACACTGAGAAACCCTCCTGGTGACACACGTGGGAAGGTGTTTTAAACACTTGGAGCTTCTTTTAGCTACCTGATACGTTTCAAAGGTGCGCAACTGATAGTGCACATTTTCCCAGGGTGCACCAGAAGAAGCAGCACTACAGAAAACCCAACCCTGAGGTTTCTGTAAGACAGATTAAAAATAAAAAAAATATCCCAAGCACTGTTGCTTTGTCCTTAGTGTTTAGCTAAGATCCAGGTGACGTTATGATGAGAGCTGGCCTCACTCCACTGGGACCCCCCTTTCTGAAGCACCCACACCCATAGCACATCTTTTGGGCAACACACACAGAAACCCTGTTTCTGAGCAGACACGGTGACTTCTCACTGCAACCCCCTCACCTCAGATCTCCCTCTGGGGCACAAGGGCTGTCTTTTCTCCTTCCAGCTGCCTGCAGCCTCCCTCGACCTAAGCCACCCATCTGTACGTATGGAGTTACCAGGATCCAGGACGTTCAGACCCACAGCTGGGGTACGATCTAATGGTGTAAATACCCACAAAGAGGAGGAGGAGCACAGGTTCTCAACATATGCAGCTACCTATCATTATAACAGAGAATTGTGTGATATTTCTGAGTGGCCAGAAGCCAGCCATCAGCGCTGAGCAGCAGGGGCAGCATCCTGCACTCCTGCTGCTGGGGCTGAGCAGTGCTGCAGAGCAGCACCCCACGCCAGCCAGGGACAGAGCTGGTCAGAGTGACAGGGAGACAGACGGTGTCCAGGCCCAGAGAGGAGCCTGCAGCACCTGGCAAGTGAAGCAAGAGCCAAGGAGAGAGCCACTGCTTGTGACCTACACCAGGGTGCTGCACGGAGCCTGCGCTTGGTTGAGATGAAGGACTTAAAGTTCCTTTCAAGTCAAGACTTGGTCCCTGCTGGGGCTTCTTTCTGCTGCTCCAGCCCAGCAGCACCAGAGGAAAACATCCCCAGCAGGGGAGCAGCAGGAGTGCAGTCAAAGCAGAGCATGCTTCAGCTCCCAGGCTCTGGGATGCCACAGCAAGAGGTGAAGCAGCAGCTGGAAGAGCAGCCCAAGGGCTGTTCCAGGGGGTACTGACAACCCGGCCCTTCATCTGAAGCCCAGAAAATGGCACATTGCCACCAGTGCTTCCTCTGCCCCAGAGTGCAGATCTGGGCTTGCCACTGAAGCTACGAAGTGACCCCTGAGCAAAAGAGAACCTTGAGTTGTATCACACCCCCACAACTTTCTTTTGCATTTCCACCCAAGCACGAGGCGTCTGTTACCAACCTGCCTTTCAGCCCAAGAAAGGACATTTTCCAGAGCTTAAAAATTCAAGCCAGCAGATTCACATAATAAAAACTGGTTTTAAGGAGGGAAAAAAATCAAACAGTAAGAATGCATATACGTTCATACCATCCAGATGTCCAGTCTTGGAGAAGATACAGAGCACTAGGCAGAGCTCAACAACAGAAGAAGTGACACGACAGCTAACGGTGCCAGCATTTCCTGGATATAATGCAATCCACCCACACCCAAGCAATATTAAATCCAGAAGACACTGTTCCTAGTTTAGACTTTACTATCCTAATAGAAAGAGCCCCAGTAGCGTGGCATAGCCAACCTCTTCAGAGATTTTAAATTATTTTTGCTTCAGAACTGGATTTAGAGAGGAATCGTACCTTAAGTCACCTTCCCCTGAGCCACACTGTGCATGTAACACAAATTACCAGAAATAAAACAGACAGCAGAGGTTTTTAACTGCATTTCTTTGGTGCGTTGGTGTTCTGTGGATGATCAGTTTTACCTTCAGCCCAAGTCTCCAGACATTTCCCTCTCCCAGCTGCTGCTCAACCACCACCTACAGACAGGCACGGCGAGGGTTCACATCAGGACCACACACTCTGTGTTTATGGGAAGCAGGATTATTATAGAGCTACTGACTTTTGAGAGGAGTGAGCAGGGGACTCCAGGGGAAAACAAGCCTAAGATGTGAATCTCATGTTCATGAAGGAAATGCAACCACTGAACACACCAAGTGGAAAGGAGAATGAAGGCATCAGCTTTGGGAAGCACCTCCTCAGGTAAAGGTAACTGGGAGTTTCTGAGTTCCTCCTACAGCAGAGGCAGGATTTTGAGGTTCTAACACGCCCAAGGAGGGTGTCAGAAAGCAGTGGGAGATGGTTATTTCTGGTTCCACAGGACATTTTTGTTCTGGGATAGCTTTGCTTGCCTGGTTCTCACCTGTTCTGGAACAGCACAGGAGCACCACGCATGGACTCGTTCCATGTGCACAGGACTCTTGCCTCAGCTCGTTAACGTGTGTATTCCTATTTGTTCATACTCCACACTAACAGGCATTGCAGTGTGTCACTGACACAGCAACCAACTACACCATGGCCTGGGAAAAGGTGATGAGAGGGAAGGCTGTGGCTGGGGCCCGGGCAGGCCAGCATCTCAGGGGACCATAGTGGCATTCAAACCACTCCTTAAGTGACTGTGACACTGAAGAGGAGGAGCTGCATGAACAGAGCGAGCAGTACCAGGAAAAAATGAGCATTTCAGCAAGTAGTGTAGCTCTGGTTTATAGGAGCACTATTTCTGGCCTTTCCTTAGATAGTATACTGGAAAAAAAATAAAGCCTGGAAATATTTGGAAACGTGGTTACCCATTCCCTTGCCCTGTGCTGGGACTGTGAAGCTTATCCTGTCCCAAATCCTCAGTAAGCCCAACCCAAGGCTGCCCAGCTTCCTCCACTTTGCTGGGAGGCTTTAGTTCTGGAAGGGAGCTCATGACAGCTTGCATTTGTCTCGAGCCCAGAGGCCTTATTTCTCTAAATTTTGGATTTTAAAATGTCTAGACAACACATTGAAAGTAGAAACAACTCAGGAACCTTTAATTAACCAAGGCCTGGAGCGAAGAACTCACCGCGACAGCAAAATCCACAGCTCCTGCTCTCCATCAGCACAACCTCCACATGAAGAGACAATAAACCTGTCCAGCTCCTCTCCTGCAAGGTGAAATGGAGATGTTGCCATCTTCACACACTATCAAGAAGGATGGAGCCATTCTACCTCTCTCTTTGAAGAGTGAGAATGGATGAACATGACCTTCCTCAGAGGCAGCCTTGTGGAGGACACACACTTACCTGATCCAGGAAGCAATGCTTCACAAACAGGACACTGCTCCACCTGTTCAAAGAATAAATTCCTGAAAGGAAAAATTTCCTCCTTCAGTTAAGGTCCTTGTTTAGGAGAAAGACTAGTTAATTGTCTTATTTACTTATCCTGAGGCATCACTTACACAGGAAGTGAGAGCCACAGTATTGCAAACCACCATCAAAAAAAGGCTTTCATATAAATGATAATTTTATTGTAAATAAAACGATACATTGGCCTGGCTTTGCACTGCAAGCCCCCGGTCAGCATATATAGACTACTGCTTCAAGGTCTTCTGCACAATCCAGGTTAAAGCAATTTCTCCCTGCTCTGCAGTCTGGGTCTGACAGGCACTGCCAGACACTTAAGCCCTTCTCGTCTCTCAACTGCCCCCTTGGCACCTCTCCCTTTTCTAACTGGGAAGCTCAGAGCTGCTTGGTGAATTTGCTCCTGAACAAGGCTGGGGTTTAAGTCCTGAAGCCCAAATATCATTGAACCACAGGGGACACATTTTTTTTTCTGAAAACTAAAGGCAGACTGAATACACCCAGCTCCAAGGGTAGATACTAAGGACTGTATGTATTCAAATCTATAAAACTTTTCCATCCAGCAGCTATTAAGCTAAGCACCAACCACTGGGATCTCATTCAGCCCCCCTGTGCAGCTCTAAGTATCTGTTCTTTGCCTACCAGAGAGTGTTCAACAAGCTGCCCTGGCTCTCTGAGCACTTGGAAATAACGTGTCACCAATGGTACCAATTTCTCTCTGTCAATTTCTGGTATGTAATGGCAACAGGGACTTGCTGAAGCATCTTCAAGTCCTTTGGAATACTACTTTAAAAATATGGGGGGGAAAAAAAAAAAATCCAAATTGCTTCCACCAGTAGAAGAGGCAAAGATCAGATTTACTGGAGAACAAGCAAATAACCTGGAATGCACAGAATCGTCACACCGAGACCAAAATGCCAACAGTTTGTTTCCTAACAAGCTCAGGGACAGCCAAATCCCCCATCCCCCCAAGTTCCCCTCTGGTGGGACCCTCGGACACCTTCCTGCTCAGTTTCAATGTTTCAGGATAAGGGTGCTCCTACAGTATATTTTTCTTCACACCAAATATTCTCCATTTCTGCAGCACCTTCCATCAAGGATCCCAATACTCAATATTCACTATATTTCCCTCCCTGGAAGGCACAGCAGAAAACACAACATGACATTTGGAATGGACACAATAGCTTATTGTGAGCCTGGCACTCCTCCTCCACTCTCCCCTACATGAGTTTATTCCTGATTTTTTTTTTTCCAATTCTACCAGGATAAAGAGGGTAGATACAATGCAGTCAAGAGGTATAATTACATTTATGTCCACTTGAAACACTTTTTCTGCCAGGGTTGTGTTAAGAGACTGTAATAAAAGTGTCAGCCCCAAGTTTATTCCCTGTAGCAGTGGACTTAAGAATCCAGATTTTCCTTTTCCATAATCAAGAGGGCTGTGAGGAAACAAAGAATGCATTTTGGCTTGGCTCTACTCGTTATAAACCATCAGCAAATTCTCTGCAAAACCAGCTGCTTTTTTTTTTTTTCCTTTTTAAATTCATAAAGGCGTCAAATTTATTTCCCATCCTCCCCCCCACCCCCATAACAGTCGAGTTGATATATATAAAAATCACCAAATATGATCTTTGACGATATAAATTAAAAAAAAAAAAAAAAGTATGAGGCATCACTGTTTACATGATGTAAAAAGAGCTAAAAAAGAGCTATATAAACTACATTCATAAAAGTGCATCTCCAAACATACAAGTAATGCTTTGGCTTGTTCCTGTGCCAAACGGGTGGCATTGGGTCAGGTACTGGAATACAAGAAGTCCAAGCTGGCACCCCATGTCCTCTGTCACTGTACAACTGCTGTCGACCCCCATGAATACAGACTGGAATACAGGTGTATACACAGAGTAGGCACATTTCAGCATGGTGGGAAGGACCAGAAGCTCTGGTGGGGAGAAGACTGAGCCCATCAGTCCATGATGCTCTTTGCTCTGCTCTGGAACAGCCTTCCGTGAAGCATATGAGGTAAAAGCCACAACAGATCCTGAGGATTTAGTTGCTTTGAAACATTACAAGGTACTCCATTTCCTCATGCCCTATTCTCCCAAAACACACCGTGTGGGAAAGCAAGGAAAGAAGCTCTCAATTTGGTGAGGACAAGCCAAGGGTAGAGAGAAACCTATGCAGAGAGGATCACAGCACTCTTGATTGCTGTGGTAAAGTGTGATGAATAAAAGATTCCAATCTTTGGTATATTCAGGTGCTAGTTGCAAGGCTTGAAGAGTACTACCACGGGAGTGCTGACCCCCCTACTTCTGCCATCAGACTACAGGAGTGATTGCATGTTCCTCTGCAGCACATGCAGCTATTCCCACCACAGCACAGTGGTGTCAAATGCTCCCTACAAGAGAGTAGAAGGGTCATGGCCCTGCTGCCCTTCTGTGCAAGCAGCAGTGAAGTGCAGGCCAAAAATGAGGCCACGTGTCTTGACAATTTGGAGTCAAGTTCTGGGTTTGGAAAAGATCAATAGAAGTGCTCTCACTAGAATTAAATAAATTATGGAACAAGGGCTTTTATAAAAGGTATCCCCTTAAGTGCCTGCAACCTGAACAGTGCATCCCTTAGCCGTGGCAGGAGAGCCCCAAAGTGAAACCACCCCCAGCTTCCTTTCACTGATCACACATGGCTCTGAGTTTGGCACAGAAAAAACACTTTAGATTGTTAAACCACTTCAGGTTGTTAAACCCTTTTAGGGCTTCTTGGTTTTTAGGGTTCTTTTTTCCTCTCTTAATTCCACATAGTATTTATTATGTGTTCAAGGAGCTTGGTGGCATTAAAGCTTGCCTTATCCTGCTATTAGCATTCACTTAAAAAACATTAATTTTACCACATTATGAAAGCCATTTTCAAGTTTTTATGGTGGAGAAGAGTGGAGGTATGTGGAGCCTTAATATGGTTTCCAATAAAAGAGCAGAACACTTTTAGCACTGCTCCATAAAGCAATTTTAGTTAATAATATATTTTTTTTCCTTAGTTTCATTTCACACAGTTAACTTATAATTACTCCATGAACCCCCAGCATGCTGGGTTTTTATGAGTGAATGAAAGACTATTACTGCCCAAGACAACATAGGGTATTTGAGGCCAGCCATCCATCAGGAATTCAGTTCTTGGAAATGTGGTACCTTTCAGATGCAAAACCACTTGGATGCATTTTGCTGGTACCTGCACTGGGACCTCCAGCTGGTTTTAGCAAGATGTTAGCATTGCAAATGTTCCCTCTGATTCACCGTTTGACTTAACTCGTACAAAAGCTGATTTAAGTAGGGTTGTAACATCTTATGGAAATGTTAAACGAACACCTGCACACCTGTAAAACAAAACACACACACACACTGAAGGGCTGAGCTCGATTCCACCTTACTGTGCACAAGTAACACTAGTGTCCAGCAAAGCCTCCCCGTGAAAACCTCCATTTTCCATCAGGCCAGGTCCTCAAAGAAACACAGAAGCTTTTCCTGAAGTAAATTCCTGGGCACCAGATGAACTATCTTTGGTTTAAAAGATGGTAAAAGGTTACCAGCCAAAAGGATAGGTGCAACAGAAAGCTGTTCTGCAGAACTCCCTTCCAGAAGGGTTTGGTTTAGACCCAGCAGCCCTGGGGAGACGAAGCAGGAGCACAGATTTGTTGGCTATGAAGACACAAACTAAGCAGCACTGGACAGATGAAGCCTTAGGAATCAAGCTCTGGATTTTCTGACATCAGTGGGAGAGCCCTTATCTCAGGCCCTCGAGTGATTGTGTTCTGCTGAAACTTTTCTGATTATCCTGACATTTAGCTAGAAAGATCTCCCTCAACCCCACCCCAAAAATCCATGGTTTCATTATAAAATAACACTATTCACATACTTTTGAATCAATATTTTCTGAATGCCTTCAGATGCTGAATACTTAAGAAGAAAAATATATCATTGTATAGCGAGCGCATGCTCAGTGACACATGGCTTGTTGCTGGATCCATGTACTACAGATGCCTCTAAAGCCCTAGCAGTCTGGAAACCAGTGACCCACACGTAGACAGCTGGTCTGGGTGGCTGTTGCACGTGTCTGTTCTGAAGAGTGTAGCTCTTCCAGTTCCCACTGTGGTGGTTCAGATTTCTGCTATGTCCAACCAGTGAGACACCTCTTAGATTCCCGTTCTCGGGCCCGCAGAGAAACACGCAGCCAGCTGCAATTCCACATCAAGGTAACCAGGGCCAAAATGCAGCTCTGTTTGGACAGCTGTCGGTAGAATAAACATCAGTCCAGCAAACAAAGGTATCAGGCACAAGAGCAGACCCTAGGTTCCCGGGCAGAACTGCCCCAAAGGCCTAGGACAGCCGAGTTGGCATTTTGAAGATGCAGCACCACGACGGGCAGTCGCAACGAGACCAGAGGGGGCACGGGGAGCCCAGCAGGAGCTGCTAGCAGGGAGGTAATTCAGTACTGGAGCTGTGCAAACTGGTGTCTGAGCAGCTCTTCAGCAGAGGGTCTGTGCCTGGCTTCCACAAAGATCTGCTTTAGAAAGTCCCGGCAATGTTCTGATATGTGGGAGGGGAGCTGGGGGTTGGTGGGCTGGGTGGCGATTTTGAAGATGGCTGCCATGGCCTCGTACTCGGCCCAGGGTGGTTTCTCTGTCAGCATTTCCACCACAGTACAAGCAAGGCTCCTGGGAAAGCAGACAGGAAAAGAAAAAGAGGTGAGAACTGACTCACACAATAACGTGCAGTGTTCAGAGAGAACTTCCAAGCAGCCAGCACCAAGGTAGAGTCCTGCTCTGAGAACAGTGGCTTTGTGCTCAGCCAACCCCACGTGTGCACGGACTCCCAGCCAGCCCTGCCAACGTCACGGCTTCTATTCCTGTCAGGACTAAAGTGCTGAGACAGGGAGCCTGGTCTCATAGAATCACCGACTGGCTGAGGTTGGGAGGGACCCCAGAGATCATCTCATCCAACCTCCAGCCATGGGCAGGGACACCTCTCAACCAGACCAGGCTGCTCAAGACCTTGTCCAGCCTGGCCTTGAACACCTCCAGGGAGGGGCATCCACCACCTCTCTGGGCAATCTAATCAAGAGCCTGGCCACCCTCACCCAGACGAAC